GAAAAAAGACACCAAACACCAACCTTCGGCCTCCGTACAACCAAGCACACACACAGAGACCTCAAAGATGGAAGGAGAATGTTTGAGTGACCTATGTCCTGCTCTTGCATTGAGGACTGGGATGGAACCATACCATTCCAGTGACCAAAGCTCTCAGAATCCCAGGCTCCTGACCACCAGAAGCCATTATGATTCTGCTTCCACCTGCCCAAGTCTTCTCTCTCCCCCTTGGGGTATCTCTGGTTTCCTGAAGGTAGGGTTTCCCTTGTGATAGAAGATCAAGCATCACCCCTTCCTGGCATGTCTCTTCCCTTAGTACTCAGCGACTCTAAACTCTGTTTCCCAGAAGGTTCCAGAAGTGATCTTGGACTCCACAAGCAGCTCAATAAATTCTACTCTTCAAGTTTCTTTGAACATTTTAGAGGCTGATTTATAAATACAATATCTCTCTCAAAATGAAACAATCAACATAGGATAAAATTATTGAGTTATGAAAATAGAGGTCAGATGGAGGTGCAGTGCTTTAAATTAAACCGACAAAATATATCTTTCATACCAAATTGACTCTTTTTGTCTTGGAAATGAATGTTTAATCAGTTAAGACACTGACGTTGTGGGGAAAGCTGTGAGTGTATTTAATTCTGTAAGGGGGTCTGGTTCCAGTATTGGACGTAATCCCCACCGGCAGCATCAGGAGAGGAGCAGTCTAAGAGAGACTTAGGAATCAAGCAGGGGACCAGCAGGGACTGGTGGCCTCTGGGGTCGGAGCTATGGGGGCCTTGGCATTGACGGAATGGCCGCCAAAGATCAAAGTCTCACCTACTCCTGCAGAGACGGCATCTTGGGGACATCTGGGGCTGTGAGGACAACACCTGGCATCCAGGTATCCTCTGTGCTCCCTGAGCCTGGCTGTGAAATCCTTCACCCCCTGGTCTAACTAGGAGGTAGATGGAAGGACTTGGTAGGGTGTGAGTTCTGGGGGTTTGGCTTGAGAACTAGGTGGCATTTTCACTCACAAAGAATAGCATACACGTCTGCCTCCTGCTCAATTGTCACTTCTCACAGGCGAGATAAGGCAGTTTTCAAGAATCCTCTGCTATCTGGTGCTATGCCGTGTCTCCACCAACACTGGCCAAGCCCCAGTCAGTATGGCTAGTGATGCCCTTGGGCAGATGAGATCACTGAGGCACTGGTGTCTTTGGACTCTGTAGAAATTGTGTTTATTTTTATCATATTCCCACCCCACAAAGACCAATGCCCCCAGATATGAAGGTATTGCCTCCTCTATCCCAGTCAGAGGTCTCTTCCAGGCACACAGACACCCCCACACACACACTAGCTGCACATCTACAGAACTTTTTTAGAAGTTGGCTGCATCTGTCGGCTTTACAGCACTGTGACGACATCCCCGAGTCTGCTCACACAGTTAACCAAGGACATTTTGCCTCAATTAAGGGCACACATGGCTTTGGGCCTTTGTTGAGGGTAGCACAGCATGATGGGAACATAAGAGTGAAGGGCCACATCTGGACCAGAGAGAAAAGAGACCAGGACACCATGATCCCTTTGTCCCTAAGGCCTTTCACTAGGCTCCACCTCTTAAAGGCCCACAGCACCTCACAGTGACACCACCCTGGGGTCTGAGTTTTTCATATCAGCTTTGGGGGACATTATGACATCTGAACGACATCACAGACTCTTGATCTTCTCTGTTTGCCTCTGGAGAATGTCGAGGAGTCTCAGAGATCACAAAGCCTGTAGCAATGCCTGGCACCTAGAGGGTGTCCAAGCTGAAGATAAGCATGTCAGGGCAGGGGGGAAATGCCACACTCCACTACAGGTATCAAGTCATGGGCCAGCGAGAGGGCTCAGAGGGTAAAGCTACTTGCTGCTAAGTCTGACAACTGGAGTTTGATCCCTGGGACCCACATGGAGGAAGGAGAGTCCTCTGGCCTTCACAGGTGTGCTGTGACACAAGCATGCACACACATCACACACTTTAAAAAAAGATACTAAGCCATAATCCTTGGAACCTGTACATGTAACAGGAGGAAGTGGTCTTTACAGACACAATTCAAGCTCAGGAGCACAACACTCGGAAATTATTCTAGATTAGCCTTAAAGTCCATCACAAATGTCCCTATGATAAGGGCAGGGGGCTACCACTAATAAAAAAGAAGCCAGAGACCAGGGAGGGACACGGCCACAAGCTAGGGAAGCATCTAGAACAGTGGTTCTCAACCTGTGGGTCATGACCCCAGTCCCATCTCAGATATTTAAATTACAATTCATAACAGTAGCAAAATTACAGTCATGAAGTAGCAATGAAATAATTTTATGGCTGGGGGGCCACCACGACATGAGGAACTCTATTAAAGGGTCGCAGCATTAAGAAGGTTGAGAACCACCGCTCTAGAAGCTAGAAGAGGTAAGGATGGACCCCCCAGAGCATCCTTGATTTCAACGTGAGGTACTGATTTGGGACCTTGGGGGTTGTGAGTGGATGGATCTCTACCGCTTTTGAGCCACAGGTTTGTGGCCATTTGTTAGAGCAGGCGCAGAAGGGAAGCCTCCAGCCCCTCCACATCACCTCCCTGCCTCTCTCAGTTGAGACGAGCACGGTGTGAGAAAGCATTTACAAATCCCTCTGCATGCTGCTTGACACCCAGCAGGTGTTTCCACAATCCCTGCTTCACACACACAGCAAGCATTGCACACCCATGCACACTGCTTTCTCCTTGCAGTTCCCATGAATTCCAAAGCTCTATCGTCAAGGCCCCTGGACTTCTAATCATCCAGCACATTGTTCTTATCTGGCTTTCTCATTTGGTGGGGGCCTTTGCACCAGGTAACAAGGGGTCAGGCTTGTCTTTCATTAAGTGAGAAGGGAACATAAAATTGAATGAGCCCCTGAAATTCTAGACTAATGGAAAGCTAAAACTGTGAATTTGAGAAGCATCCTAGATACACACCAGTTGTAAAGGAATCTGCAAAGGACTGGTTTGCATAGAGCTCATGTAAGCCACCGTTTATTTCCCAGGGGAGCGAGGGGTGGTCTGTGATCAGCTGACAGCAAGCCTTGTAATGATCAGAGCTGTTGTGATCAGGAAGCTTGGGAAGGGCACTGGGAGACTGGTGACTGTATGTATGTGTGAAGGTCAGGAGACAACCACAGATACCGGCCACTTTGGTTTTTTGACAGGGTCTCTCACGAGCCTGGAACTTTCCTTGTAGGCTGGGCTGTCCACCTGTCTTAGACTCCCCAAGGCAGCCACCTGGCTCTGCCCTGCTGTATGTTATGGGAAATCCCCAGCAAAGGCACCCAGTGTAGTGAGGATTTGTCAGGAAATGAGCTGAGAATATGGCAAGGTGGGACTGAGGTCATGTGACTGTGACGTCTGAACCGGTCAACCACTTGGCAGAGGAAACGGGGTTACTGCCTTGTTGAGGGGGGCAACAGGAGAGTGGAGCATACATTCCCATTGAGTTATTACTTAATTATTTATAATGTCTCACTATGCAGTTCAGTCTGGCCTTGAACTCACGATCTTCTTGCCTCTGCTTATACCGGGCTACAAACTGGACTATGATTTCTGAGCAGCTGATGTGGTAGCAAATGCTATCCAGCCCAAACCATGTGACTCTGACAGGGAAGTCAGCTGAGCACCCTGTCCTTCAGCCTCAGGAGTGCTTGTGACCCAGTCAGACACCCTGGGGTGGGGCTACTTCATCTTGGATTCATGGTTGGTCCAGCCAGTCAGTGCTCTGTCATGGTTTTCCTCGGAAGACTTAAACAGTTACTCCGCCACAAGTGTGTTAGCTGCCAGTAGCCATAGGCCTGCTGTGTGGAAATGGGGGGTGGGGTAGGGCCATGACACCCACCAGCACAGCTCCTGTAAAGAAGCACCCGGAAGCCTTTGTCTATCCTCGGCTACGTCAGTCTTTATTGCTGTGTCACCATTACCCTAAACATGACTGTAAGAGTTATAACTCTAATACTAACTGTGAAGCGATGGAAGGAAAGAGAAACGTGAAGCACAGTTGTTTAAGAATGGTGCCGGAAGTCCCCTAAAGTGCCTATTCTACCGACTTCCTGCAGGACTTGAGAGTTCAGACAAGCCGTCATGCTAAAAACACAGAACCCCGCTCAGCATGGGATTCAGGACCTCACGCTGCGGGCTCCCCTGAGCTCTTTCACCTCCGCTGGCTGCAGGTTCTCACTCTGCAGCCCCATAGCAAAAGGAATCCCTTGCTGACTCCAGCAGCTCACCAGCCCCTCCACCCTTCCCTTGGCTGTCTGGATCCTGAAGCATCCTTCCCTGCCTCTGTCTGCCTGCTGTGGTTCACCTACCCTCGGTAACCCTCCTCCCTGGCTCCTTATGCGAAACACCCACAGCAGGCAAACAGACCGAGGCAGAAGGTAACCTGTGGTAAGCGGGTGTGGTGGTCCACACCTGCAATCCCAGGACTCAGGAAACAGAGCCAGTGGGCCAGCCTGGGATACATAGTGAGTTGCCAGCTAGCTAGGACTATAGAGTGTCTCAAAACAAAACAAAGCAAAATAAGGGAACGTAATGGGCGGTCGTCTTGGGCCAAGGGTTGGGCATGGTAGCTGGGAGTGGTGCCTAAGGTGACTGCTGACACTGCTAACAAGACAGAAGCCTCTTCCGGTGAGGGCGATGAAAACATTCAAATAGACTGTACAGCTACCCACTCAGCGTGTGTGACTCGATGGCATGAATATATCTCAATAAATCTGCTAGGAATAAAACTGAGGCTACACTATCAACAACCAATAAAAATCAGTCCCAAGTTGCTGCAGAGCTGCAGAAATAACATTTTCCTCCATGCCACCCCCATACTCTGCAGAGTCCCCCCAAATCAACCAGCGGAACTCAGATCATGCACCGGATCAGGGCTCCTCAGCTCAGCCCTGCCACTTGCTCCCCTCAAGGCCTCCTTTGCTGGAGCCACGGGGCCCGCGTGGGAGATGGACTCACCGTCGGCAGCTGGCCGGACAGCAGGTGGCTATCCTGGGCCAGCATGTTGGACACCATGATGGCTGGGAGATCCATAGCTTGGTATGAGTAGGCAGGGAGCAGACCGTTGGGCGCAAGGCCGTGACACAGCGAGTGATAGCCGGCTTCGTGGTCCCCCAGGTGCAGGAGGGATGGCTCAGGGAGGTTGGGAGGTGTTATAGGAGGAATCTCATAGTCTTCATTGCTCTCGCTCTGGCTGTTGTAGGTCTGAAAACATCAGAGGGGAGGGGGGACGGGGTCAGTGCCTCAAAACCACAAAGCATGTTCCATAGCATCAGTAACAGCAGCAATGGGAACAGTGTCCTTGGCAAAGAGATGACCCCAGTACAAGGCAGAAGGCCTAGTGACCTCCTGGCTCAGACTCCTGCTCCACTGCTCCATGAATCTTTCACTGAGAGTCTGCAAACCAGAGCCTGGACTCCTAGGGAGAGGGTTCCCCTGAACCTGCTCCTGATTGCCCAGCAGATCCAGCCCATGGCCACCTGAGACCCACCCTCCCTCAGCCACCCACTTTACAGCAGTCCAAAGGAGAATAGTCATGTAAGTCAGCAGAGGAGCTGGGGACTGGAGCTGTAGGCAGTAAGAGTCTCCTAGGCATCCCCAGCCCTCTCTTGGTCCTTATCTTGGTGAGGGGTACATATGTCGGTGCAGACTAGCAGTTAGCGGACCCCTGTAGGTCAGTCTCATGGGGTCATTTTCACACCCTAATGAACAGTCTCCAAGACAAGGCTAGTAGACACAGTGAGCACCAAGTTTAGCTTTCTCCTTGCCGTAACTGTCGCAGGTTTTACGGTAGATCATGATGAGCACATACTTTGGGCCCTGACTTTGTGGCATAGGTTCTGGGTATGCTTCAGCAGGTGGAGGGACTCCCATTTGTCAGTGTGAGTGAATTTGTAAAAATTGT